ACACAGTATATTATGAGTATGTCTGAGTGATACATCTCATTACGAAACATTTATTGTTCATTATGATTCAGTCATTTCTAAAGTCCACAAAAGATRTGCACAAACTACTCAGTTAGCTTTACTCAAGTCTTTTACTTTGGCCTTAGTGTATCAGTAAAGTGTAGGTAAAGCTATTTTTAATAACTTTTACTAAGATTCCAATGTCTTAAAATATCTACAGATTCTGTTATATGAATGTGTTTTCTTCTTCCAACATATTACATTAATATAAACATCAAAACCTACAGTGTGTCCAACCAGTTTTGACGCACCAGGTAACAACCTTGCGTTAGTTTTTGACGAGATGAGATAGAGGAGTAGTGCGTTGTCATATTTTTAAAAAGAGTAGGAAATGCATGACAACTAACCGTCCCAGACCCTAAATTGAATTTCTATTAGCCCTATACATCCTATCCCTGACCTCAATACCTAAAATTAACCATTAACCCTGATCCCTTATGCGCCGCTACTAACTGTCCCAGACCCTAAATTTAACTTCTATTAGCCATATTYCTGAACTCAGTACCTAAAATTAACCATTAATCCTGATCCCTAATATTAACCACAGACCTCCAATCCAAAGACCCCTATGTGGCTCAAACCGGAAAAGTCACGGGGGTCAATAACTGATGCGAGGGGTCCAGGGGTACCCGACAAACAATAAAACAAACAGACAAAAATATATATTTCTACCCATCTACACTTCAGGGAGTCCTGCCAACCACTGCCTCATTTCTGATTTAACCATGAGCGACCAACATGAGCCCATTTTTCAGTCTGCTAATTTCTTTGAAACAAAGTTTTACCAGTTGGTCATAAAATCTTAAAGTTAGTACAAAATGACAAACAAACAAAAAATAAACAAATAAAATATTTGCACAGGTCCTAAAATATAAACATGAACAAACACTTAAAAAAGACCAAAGAAAAAGAAAAAAAGTCCTCAAATGATTGTGCAAATAGTGCTTTGGTTACAGCTGTTCTCCAAGTAAATAATAGCAAAGCTGGATTTTTAATTACTTTAAATATTTCAAACCCTTCAAAGTATTTCTTGTTGTTGGTTTTTCACAATCAGTCGACAAACACAGGAACAGTTTGATTGATTAGGCAACCTTATCTGTTGTGGTCCRCATTAAATAATATAATCACTTTGATCATTTCCCTTTGTCTTTATTTGATGGCTTTGTTTTTGTATCCAAGAAACCAGTCCACATCAGAGGAGAGAATTAGTACACACTGAATATGTTTAATGTTCATGTTACCCACCATTCTTTCACATAAAATTGCAATGGGAATAAGACTATTAATAGTCCTGTTCGTACAAAGTAATGCTGTTTCAGAGGTCTGTAGGACACCAGCATATCCTTATTAACTGAAGATCATTATTGTTTGAATTTACTTGAGGAAAAAGGGGCAAATGTTATAAATGTTTCTCTTCTCTCTGCCACCTTTTATTTTATTTGTATTTTCTTTTTTTATTGTACATAGAATTACTTTTGTTTTTTTAAGAAATGGATAAAGCTTGGAATAAATAAAAAATGAACATCCAGGACAAGGCTTAATAAAGAGATGCTGAAACCTGTAAAAGTTTGAGAAAAAAGCAGYCATGCAGAATCAGGTTGTTTCAATTGATAGGCTAAAAGTCAGATGCTTTCCACAAAAAGATGGATCTGTTCTACTACAGTCTGTAATGAACTGCAAGACAGGAGAAATAACAAACACTTTTGTGGGTATCTAAAAAAATCCTGTTTTGATCTGACTTTGAACTCCACTAATCCCAATGCAGACATACCGTTACTGTACAAACAGAAGAATTTCAAGACCATTTTCACCTTTTCCATGAGTAGTCAAAAAACCATACGGATACAAAGGTCTCCATTGTTTGTTTCATTACAAAGCTATTCTGACTAACTTTTATGCAACTTAAGGCTCCAAACATTTTGACAAATGCTAATATTAATGAGTCTTAAGCAACTATGGTGTGAAAAGCAAAACTGCAAATAGAACGAGACATTTATTAAAAAAAATAATAACAAGGATGGTTATTTAAAAGCAAAAGGAAGACAGATTTTTTTTCTGTGGACCTTAGTGGAGGTTAAATGTGGTTTTGGTTTATTTTGCTGCTGAATGAATGACGTTTGTCAGACTAAAAACTAAAAATACACTTTAGATAATTATCTTCAGGTGCTGATTTTTGTTGATACACGTAGCTCTTTTCTTTGTTGTATATTCCTATGCTTTCTTTTTTCCTCCTTATTTTAAGGTTCATTTCAGTTAGTTTTTTTTTTTTTTTTTTTTCAGGTGTTGTGTGACTTAACCCTGTAGTGCACAGACTCTGGTTCCAAAAATACAACACTGCAGCGTCAAAATGAACAGATTTTTATTTTTTTTTTATTTTTAGATAATGGAATTTAATAAAGTTCCTTTGTCGTCGTTTTTATGCTGATGTATTGATCTTAGTCCTGACAAATGGGAGAGTAAAATTATGCATCCAGAATAAACATCTGAACAGTTACTAAACATTTTTTTAATGTTCCATAATAACCTTTTATTGTTTTGCTGGTTAAGATGTAAAAATGGAAAGTTCACATACTTTTGCATCTCCAATTATTACATTTCACTCAGTTATTATAGATTTTTATCCTTTGTGGGTAAAAATATGATGTTTCAAGTCAGATTTCTTTTGACTGTGGAAAATTTTATAGGACCTACAAACTTTTAAGTGTTTGATCTARTAAATTATACCAACCTTTGAATAAATATGGGGCCATCCCAGTATTTATGAAGAAATGATAAATACAGTCGCACTCTGGATGTTGTGTTTGCTCCAGCAATAAAACTGTGTTATGGCCCCTTCCTCTGTTTATTTCCCATGATCTCTTTCCCCCTCGCTTTTATCTCAGAGTCCATCAGGAACACAGCACGCTCCAAGGGTAAACACACACAAACAAACTCTCCCCTTCATTCCAGGACAGTTTATGTGGGCCAAGAGAGATAGCATCTCTTTGCTCCATTGTCTTCATCGCACCATGCTGCACTTTACAAACAGAAGAAAAAAAAAAGAAATGCATCGGAAGTATTAATTTCAAATCTTCACACAGACATATTTTTATCTTGTATCTGTAACAATAAGACTTTAGCAACGTTCTGTAATGCTTCATGTSAAGAGATCAAGAGATTAACTTAAATAATGTTGCCTATTGCAGGATTTTCCATCACTGATCTTTTCACTAAATGGATCTGGTCTGACAGTTTTACACAGAGACTGATGCTGCACACATCTTTTGTGTTCTTTCTGTGAATCAGATGCAAACGTTTGCAGTGGCTGGGGATGTGCATTCTGYAACTTGTCCTTGGCTTATATGAATGGTTATATACTTTCAATCAAACCAGGAAGTCAGGGTCATAATAACATTTCCCAAAGACATTAGGTGATGAAAGTTGCTGCAAAACCAATTATTTTGTTCTGGTTTTCTAGCTCTCCTGTCCCTTTCTTTGTATTCTGAAAAACCAGAAGTATTCTCTTGTTACTAATAAAGTTCACATTTCGTATGAATCAGCACACATATGGAAGCACATACACTGTGTACACAGGCCTGCACACACATACATTCAAACAGGCAGACAGTACTTTCTAGTTGAACCCAGGGGTCCCACAGTGGCACCCCCCTACATGTGATGTGTGCGCACGAGTGTGTGCCTGCTTCTCCGTGTTGTGCGAGGTCAGACCAGCAGTTGTTGATTCTAGTGCATCGAATTACGGCCCGTCTGTCACTTCCAATCACAGTTTGGAACTGATGACATGCACAGCATGCTCCTGTGGGTGTGTGCGGCTGTTTGTCGCTTACCTCCAGCTGTGTTGTGCTGACATGACAAGCCGCAAGTATTCACTTGTAATTTAGCTGGCATAAATATTTTTTTTTCAGTATTATTTTTTTATTTTGCTTAGATTTATTTTTTTCAGGAATTTTGCTATCTGTAACAATGGTGCCACACTAATTCTAACATTTTTACTCTTWCTGGTATTTGTTAGAAGTAAGTAAGTGAAAAGCGATTTATAGTCATCTTGTGGGATTTTGGCGCTGTCTCATGAAATGACTTGAACAACATCTGGGGAATCCATCACAATTGAATCCTCATGTTTGACCTATGGTACTGTTTGGAGTGGTGCTCTGCTTTCTGCAACACTAAAAAACAAATTCTGCTCAGAGCATCATTGCAATATTTTTTGAACGTCTAGAGTCACCAACCTGCTTTCTCAAACATGAAGCTACTGTTTTGAAAAAAAAAGCTTAACAAAAAAAGAAAGTTTTCTTTTCTGTCTTACGTTTGACAGTTAGTTGTGCATCTTTAAGAGTTTCTTCTCCATGTGACCTAAAACCTTTTGCGTTGCTCCAGCAAGTGTGAATGTGTGAACTTGAAAGCAAGTCATCGCTTTTATAATCAAGGGGAAAAAAAGGGAGAAAATCAGGAGGTTTATTATTTCGGCTCAGTGTTTTCTTCACAGTTCCTTCAACCAGTTGGGAGACAGATCGTTTTCTCCCTCTCACTGTAGGTGTCAGACAGGCCACACACAATCTCTGCATGTGAATACACTCAGTCCACTCTGTGTACACACACACTCACAAATCTGAACATTTATTTGAATGTCAGCAAGGAGTCCACATCTCATGCAAACCCTGTCTCTGGGACGTATCACTCCCATACGCTTCCTGCTTAAACCACAGCTTCTCTCTTCCAACTGATGCAGCACTGAAGCAGTTCAGAATGATTCACAATACCATTTTAAAGCAAGCTAAACTCAAATAATCTCTCCTCTCGGCTTTCGCTGCTTTTTCCTCTCCCAAAAATCTTTTCTTCTTTTGAACTCTTCCTCTCCTCCATCTAGCCTTCGCTTTCCACTTCCCAGGATGCCATGCGGGAGACGGCGGAGCGGATTATGGAGTTGGAGAAGGCGCTGAGAGAGAGCATGAACACCTCAGCACACAGGGAGGCTCTGTGGGCGCAGGAGGAGGCTGCCCACGTTCAGGCCCAGAGACAGGTTCACCTGATGTTGCATACGTTTACGGAGGATGSCCTGCAAAACTGGCAGACGCAAACACCCACTCATATATGCAGGAGGCCTCACACAGCTCCACAYGTTTAAATTTTAAACTGATCAGTTTTCAAAAACAAAGAAAAAAATCTATTAAAAAATAAATTAAAACATAATCAGCAAAAATGTGATTCCCTAAACTGCACCCTCTTGTGGTCAAAGGTGTACCTACAGATGTGAAATCTAAAAAAAAAATAAATAAATAAATAAATAAAACAATTGCTTAATTTTAGTCAAGGCAAAATTATGCTACACCTAGATTTCTATTTTTACTCTCTAAAGTTGATCTTGCTCGTTTCCCCCCTTTTGTATAAAATGTAAATGCAAGTAGTCCAGTTCTAGCGGTCTGCTTCCATTTGTTCCGTTCGCATGCTTGAAAATGTAAGCATATGTTTGACATGTTGCACATTCATGTGCATACAATTAAAAAAAGGTTCAAAGAAAGCAGTCAAAATTTGGGACCGCAGACACGACTGAGTGCTGCCTGCCCTTTCACCGTGCATGTGCTGTGATCTATCTATCCATCTTTTGTACTGCCAGCTCGTCAGTCTACATCTTAATGTGGATCCAAAAAATAAAAGAGAGAGAGAGAGAAATGAATGTGTGTGCTTTTGTATGTGAGCGTAGGTGTGTCTGCGGTGGGAAAGAGAAACAGGGTAAGGGAGCATGTTTCCTCCTGATGTGAGTGTGCATTTGAATGAGAATGACCTTGCATTACTTACGAGTGCCACAAGTAATATGAGAGTCTATCGGTGGTTAAAACTAGAACTAACATTTTGAGGCAGAAATATGGCTGTATTGCTTTAAACACACTCTCCCTAGCAGAGCTTAAAAAGATGAAAGGAGGGGACTGGTAGACAGAGGGGCCAAGCAAAAGAGGGTCAAACTCAGTTTAGAAAATTTGGTGAGGGCCAACACTAACTGCGGCTTGTTTTTTCCTCCTTTGCGTATTTTCAYGCTTAACTTACATTCAGCATGGATACTGTGTTTATCAAACAATATCCTGACCTACTGAGMAGTCAGAAAGAATAGAAGATTTATGTCTGTGGGACGTTTTCATTTTGGTTTGTTTTGCGTGTGTGGCAGTGGATGATTCAACTTTGACTCTAGTTAACTCATGTGTAGATGAATCAGAGAGATCTTAACACAACTTGTGACACATTAACCCCCAATGACCCCAAAAGCCATAATCAACTTGCTTTTATTTTAAGGTAGTAGAGGCCCTATAAGGTATATTGAGAATGTGAGGAGCTAGCATGTAGACATAATGACTGCTGAACTTGAGTAGACTTCTACTGCTGATATAAGAACACGTCCCAATCTAGCCAAGAGTTTGAGCTCAGCCTCTGATGCTTTCTGCCAACACACTAACCTTTGTAAACCAACATAAAGTTACTAAACAAGAAGAAATCAAACTCAGGCCATTGTCAGCTCATATTACTGCCTCAAAAACAACAGAAGTATGTAAGAGGGGAACAGAGAGGGAGCCAGGTCCAGCGAAAAGATCACCTGACTCTGGCACAGTTTCAGAGTTCCCTGCCAAACTCCCATTCTCACACACTCTCCCTCTTTGCTCGATTTTTCTTTCTTCTTCTTCCCTCCGTCCCAGAGTAATCAGTCTCATGATGGGCTGAAAGCCTTCCATCAGCCTGACCCTGCTGAAATGGAGCATGGGTAATGTCCTGGGTCACTTCTCTTCACACCCGCATTCTCTAAATCTCTCACTCTGTCGCTGCCTCTCTCTGGCTTTTCATTCTCATCAAATGAAGGGAAAAAAAAGAAAAGAAACCTCTGCTGTCCATCGAGTTTTTTACCGTCTGCCTTCTTAACTCGTCTCATACAATTATCTCCACGCTCTTTGTTTTTTATCCACTCCTGTCTCCGTCCCTCTGCAACGTTTGAACTAGGCCTTTGAACCAGGAGCCTGACACAAATGGACAAGAGGGATTTACCCCCCCCCACACACACACACATACACACACACACTCCTTATGAGGCCTCAATCAGCTTATCAAACCAAAGGAGTTTGGGGGCTGGCCTCAGCAAGCCTCGCTGCAGAGCTTTCCCTTGAAGTTGAGCTAAAATAGCACGCACAGACTCACTGCTAAGCTGATTAAACTCCCTAATTTCACTAAAATTCATTGTATTCCTTATTAATGATGTGATTGTGAAGTCAAGGCTACCCTGGGTGGTGCACTAATGAGGAACTAGCTCTGATTGACATGTGGTAGGTGTAAAATGAAGTTGTCTGGATGACTGTTGACTTTTAAGATGAAAAGATTTTTTTCTTAATAGAAACCTGGGGTAAAACGTCAAACATCAGAGAAGATGTGATCATAAACATTATTATTTTTGTTCATTTTAATGGTTAGTTGCTTATGGCAGAACAAACAATTTCTATTTGCTGCAAAATCAAGATAAAAAGGCTTTCACTTTCCATTCTAAATGAGGTTACACACACTCCTGATTTTCTTTTATGTTTAAGTTTTTTCTTTTTCTTTTATAAATCTCATTCCATATGTGATATTCATGAGCAGTCAGTGAGGATATTATTGGACATCTGTGAAACACACCTAGAAAGCTGGAGGACATGCACAGTGTCCTAAAAATGTGTGAACGATTTGGCTCTTTCATAAAAGAGGCCCGTTTCTTTTTTTTTTTCTTTTCCAACCCCACAGTGGTTTCCGAAGACTTCTTTTTTAGTATTTTTTTTGTTTGTTTTACCATCATTTTAAATTTCACTATTTGCAATGCAGAAACATACATACTCTTGTTCAATACATTATCTGAACATCTTGTCTAGTAGAAGAGCCTGCTCAGCATTTAGTCACTTCCTGTTGTTAAACGAAGTGGCCCCGAGGTCTCGTTGTGTCTATCAAACACTTCAGTTTGGACACTCATGGTTAATGGCTATTTGTTTGCAGAGAAAAGACATAAATGACATGTACTTGAGAGCTTAAGCATCATCTTCACCGGCTCTTTAGTACAACCACACTCAAAAGGAAGACAAAATAAGTGGTGAAAGGTGGGAGAGTGAAGGGAACACTTGTTTTCAGCACAAGGGTCAGTGGACACGCCTTTCAACTAACCGGTGAACCTCAGTAATTTTGCCTCCTTGAAAACATCACCTGTCCATTCATTTTCATGTTTAGGCTGTCATTTCATCTCATCTTTAAGCATTCCAGCACCCACTGCCTTTAAAAATGCTCAACTCACACAGCATAGTGTTCATACGTTTTAACCCTGTTTAAACTTTTCTTTCCCCCTTTTAAATAGTTGGAAGAGTTGATGGGGGCTTTGGAAAAGACTCGGCAGGAGCTGGATGCCACGAAGGTGCGCCTGTCCTCAACTCAGAAGTGCCTGCATGAAAGAGATGGACACCTCAACCAGCTGCAGCAAGAGAGACGTAAACAGCTGGAGGAGATTCTGGAGATGAAGTTAGTGACACACGATCTGTTTGCATTCAGACACAGAGTCACCGGTGCCTTTATGAGAAACGCTTGCAGATTTTTGCCTTTGGGGTTCAGACTATAATAACACTGTGAGAAATGTTTAATGTTAATGGCAAAGCTTGTTTCGTAGGTCAACTTTAAAGTTGCAATTTTACAGCCAATTAAAGATCTCCAGCTTTTACTTTTTTTAACAGCAGTTTCATAAACTAAACAAGCAAAGCAATGCACAAGCATGGAGGGTGGGGGGTAACCTTGTCTACTCAGAGGTTGTGAAAATATCAATTAAATGTTTGTGTATAAAATCATGAAAACAAGTCCAACTGTTCACATTATTTATTTTATTTTTTTTCGTTAAGAGATAAAGGTTTAACTCATCTTTGGGAGAAGTGGATAGTTGCAGTTGATGGTGGGGGGTGTTCAGCCTGGCTTGAAAGTAAGAAAAGTGGGCTTCGAGGACAACAAATAAATTGTATGTAGTTGCATAATATTATTTCTAGTATTGCAAACATTTAGTTAATTAATATTGTACCCATTTGCTTCATATAAACCACATGTTTATGGATTTTAGATTTTGACTGGTAAAAAAAGTTTTAATATAATGACAGTAAAGATTATTGTGCAAAAGTTGTTTCTATACCTGTACACTGAAAAAAATAAAATTAAAAATCAGCATTTGCAGTAGTAACAGAAAGCTTACAAACATCTTCACTGATTTACAAAAAAGCCCATTTCCTATACAGCGTTAGGCCCCCTTTATTTTCTTCATGTCCCCACATGTGCACCCCTATATAGACATCAGCGCTGACCTGTGCTCTGAAGCAAGTTCAGCTGTAGCTACCTCGCCTCATGAAAAGTAAAATTTATTGGCTACAGGCGGATGGCCTTAGACCAAAGGTCATAAAAATGTGTCTAGCGCTTTTTAAACGCATGTTTGACTAAGAAGGAGGCAAAGAAAAGCTGTGCGGTACAGTCTATGTTTCCATATGTGATTGTGTGTCAGTGGCTATGTGTTGGCTGCATATGTGTGTTTTAAGACATCAGATTAAAAAAAAAGAAAAAAGACAACAACACAGTATCTGCTTGTCACATGTTCTGTAGAAATGCCTTTAATGTCAGCCACACCAAAGTGAAGATCACCATATGTGCTTTGAAAACATAACTTTTACAGTTTATTACATTCCTCTGATCATGAGTGTTTACATTTTCTGAATGTATCTGTCAGTTGTGTTATGTCTCTTTCTGCAAAAACACACTTCTGATACCAACCATTCCTCTGTCTGCTGCAGCATCAAATTTAACTCGGAGAGTTTGTCAGGAGGCATGAATTGCAACCAGTAAAGATGCAATCCGTGCAATGCTTAGTGACCTGGCATGAAAAGTTATATTGTTACATCTGAGTGGCTAACATTAGTTTTATATTATCATCAGAAGATCACCGAGGAAGAAGTTTGGTGTGATGGTTGGTTGACATAAACAGTGACAAAGTATATAGGAATTTTTGCTGTTGTGTTCAAGCTTTTGCTTAGTCTGTGCTGGTGGGAACAAATGAAAAGGGGGGTGAATAGGGGGCACAGAGGGCATGAGTGTGTGTGGTCTTTTATGCATTGTATTCTGTGTGTGCGAAGAGGTTGGAAGCTGGGGTTTGGGGTCACTGATGATGAGGATTAAAGGACTGTTGAATTGCTGGAGGGGGGGAAGCTTCATGAGACAGAACAAGCCACAAAGATACGCATGCAGAATGCACGCACAGGCATGGTGGAACTCTCATGTAATCACTCATGTCGGCAGACATGCACATACTTACACAAACTGTGGCTTTCCACTTTTAAAAGGGGGTGGTGGGGGGGTATTCCCACAGACAGTTCTGCTCCAAGTTAAAGCAGAGAAAACTAAACAGTAAATATGTACAGTAGACAGAGAAAGAGAGGTGACAAGAGGAAGAGAGAAGACGTCGGATTAAATGCTTGGAAAAAAAACAAGGACGGGAGGGAGAGGTGGAAGGCAAAGAGGAGCTACACACTGAAGAAATTCAAATCTTCGAAATCATGAGAGAAGTTTGATAGCGTGCCAAACATCTCCGCTCTCCCCTGTAACGTGGCATTTGTCTGGAAGGTCAGCTGAAACAGTGAACCAGGAATATTTCTATGTGTGTGTGTATGTGTGTGCATAAAAGTTAGACGGATAGAAACTCATGGCTTTTCAACACTACTAMTGAATGAAAGGAAAAAAAAACGTGGAAAATCATTTTTAATATCCTCTTATTCCAAGCTGGGATTCTTCAGCTCAAAATAGGCTATTTGTGTGTGTGTGTGTGTGTGTGTGTGTGTGTGTGTGTGTGTGTGTGTGTGTGTGAATATTAGAGAGGTTGTGTTTTCTTTAGTCTTTTTCGGATATAGAGTTGAAAGCTTGATGTATAAAGAGCAGAGTGGGTTGCCTCTATCACCCCACACCAGATTGAGTTTCCATCATTCTGTACAGTGTTCACACACAGATACAGATGGTCTCCAGAGGAGCTACTCATTAAATGAGTCTCGGGTCACAGGGTGTTGGTGTKCAATGGAGAAATTATGTGTGTGGAYGTACTGAATAGTCTATGTTTCCATACTTTGAAAGGGATAACACAATCTGCCACAACACTGCAGTTCCTGAACATGATCCTGCTGTAGACTGTGGGTGAATGGGGTGATGTTATCTCTGTTTACATTTTGTTGATAGACAATAAGAAAAAAATAATAAAAAATGTTCTGTCACTATGCACTTTACGGGTTTTATTTTATTTTTTTATTTGTTGAATAATAGGGCGGACATTTAAAACAAAAGAAAAAAACCCTGCAAAGTAACTAAAAGAGCACAAAGCAGAAACAGAGAAAGTTATGAACGATGGGACAAAAAGAATGATGAAGTGAAAAGGTTATGATGGGGGGAAAGGAGGAGCATGATGATGAAGAGAGTGGAGTCTGAAAAAGCTGGGAGAAGATCGAGTGGAACTGTGAAGTGTGTGGTTGGCATAAAATGACAAGAGGAAGGAAAAAAAACATTATGAAGAATGAGTTAACACAGCCCAGGACATCAGCAAACACTCACACTTAAGACAAAAAATAAATAAAACCTTGCCCTTTCCTTAAAAATCACACACACACACACACACACACACACACACACACACACACACA